AGATATACCCGAATATGGAGGCCGCATTGGGCACAGCCAATCTGTTTGCCTTCTATGCGGGCATATCCTTCCTGGCAGCGGCCTTCATCGGCACCTTTGTCCCGGAGACGAGGGGCAGGACACTCGAGGAGCTGGAGGAGCGTTGGCAGACTGGCAAATTCTCACGCCGCCTCACAATCGTCAATCTGAAGGATGTGGAGCTGCACGAAGTGTTCCTAAAGAAATAACAGGGACCACAGGAATTTAGATAATATATACACATATGAAAGATACGAGAAGTGGACAAATTCTGGGGACCAATAGTAAAGTAATGAGTTCCATTGGCATTTTCAAACGAAATGTGCAAAGTAATACAAATGCGCATGTGGAACACGCATTTCCATTTAGAAATCGGGTCGGGTTTTTCAATCTGTGATGTGTTAAGTACTTAGCCTCGGAAGCCATGGAATGCGGCAATTTGATAATCAATAAAAACCATTTACCAAGTAAACAAATGTCAATTGAAGTGCATATCGCGGAGAAAATAGTGCAGTGCATATTGGTCCGGCGACAACGAAGCTTCTGACATCTATATACAAATATTTTTTTTTATTTTTTTGTTTTATTTTTATATTTTTTACTTTTACGCCATGTATTATTATGAATAAAACAGGAAAAACTACTTGCTAAATGCAGCTCACAAACAAGACAAATGAAATACTTTTAATTATTTCCGGTATGCAGCAGTATATTCTTATTCATTCGGGAAAGCCTCGAATGATCGGAAAATGTCACTACAACTGTGACGCTGATTACTGGGAAGTAAATCAGCTAAATTGATTTGCAATTGCAGCGTCTGAAACAGATAACGCATTTCGAATGTTATGACTGCAAGCGAATCACGCATGCAAATCTATAACTACTGGTTCGAGTGATAACTGCCTATAATATGATATAATATACGACTTTAAAAGTAACTCGAAACTCCAAACTAAACTCAAACAATGAGATCAAGGCTAAAATTGTACGAATAACCTTGGGAATAAGGTTTAATTCCAAGGTGACTTGGTTGCCCCTTATCCAACACCCACTGCCGACTCAACGCACACCCCACGTGCCCACTTTCGAAATGGGACGCTTTCCAGGTGGGAATCAATCCATTACCAATGCAATCCAGGGCCCAACCCTCAAGAGTTTCAGCCTTCGGGTTGTCCATGTGGGAATCCAAACAATGACTGGCCAACAAATCAAGTCAGTTAATGCTAATGCTTATCGGCACTTGATTGAAGCACTATATGCACACAAGTATATACATATTTCGATCACTGACCGCCGATCTCCGGTGGGTGTGCGTCCGTGACACGTCCGTGACACGATCGTGACGGATCACGAGGCGAAGGATCGGGAGTGGGTTGAATATAGTGGGTCTTATCGGGTCGATAGTGCGCTCTGGCGTAGTTCCAGAACACTAATTGGACGCGGTACGCAAACTTGTAGTGGCTATCAGCAGTTAACGATCCGGGAAAAGGTGAAAATCACATCGAGCGGATTGTTTACCACTCGAAATGATATCAATATATACCTAGTACACTATGACATGTTCCATACACTTCGTAATTCGTAGCAAACTGACACTTGGCGGGATTTTTGATTTATTGTTGTGTTCCTTTTATTTCAATGTCGTGTTCTCTTCACTCAAGATATAAAGATCGGCGATGATATAACTGCTTGGGTGGCACACTCTCGAGCAAAGTACTTGGGAATACGAGTGATTTGGGGTCGAAAACTAGTGATAAGTGTGTCGTATTCAATTGCGTGTGCCTGCTACACGGAGCTCTGTGCAATTATATTAAATTCCAATTTCAATGTTATAGCAACGTTCAAACACTGATCAAATATCTTAGTTATAGTTCTCGCTTGTGCCTTTAGACTTTTCAAGTGCCAACCTTGGTTTTGTCAAAAAGGTAGATAGTGCCGAGCAGAACTAGGCACTTGCCAATGAACTGAAAAACAAACTTAAATTTCTTAAAGCAAAACAGTAATTGTACATTTCAGCCAAGTTATGTGGAAAAATCCATTCAAAAATATGCGATTGGGTCAATAGTCGTACCTTGTTGCTCTCGAAACAAAATGCCCAATCGACTGACGGGTCATTAAATTTTTAAATATTTTTCGCCCAGTTTTCAAGATTTAAAAAGAACTTTGCCGATCGCTGTTATCGAGTGCTGTGGCCTGTTATCGAATCCACATTGCTGTTAAGTTGCCGCATGCTGTTAAGCGCACTGATCTTTGAAAAAGATCCCATCCCTAGGAAAACGGCGGTTACTTTTGCGTTCTGTTTGAATTTTAAATGTTCTTTCGTTTATTTGCTCTTCTTGTAATGTGACATTCTTAAGTACAACAATTAGCTGCTAGTTTAATATATGTATATATGTGTTGTTGTATAAACGAGTTAAAATTCAAGTTTTTCTTATTGGTTTTCCCATTTTCTCGTGTAGTTTTACGGACTACGAACATTTACGAGTCTGTCTGCTGTCTGTGTGTGTGTCGTTTAATCGGTATATTACGTTACATTACGTTATTACTTTTAAATATTTATTTATTTCAAAAAAATTTCCACTCAGGGCTTAATATTTATAATATATATATATGTATATATATGCGTATTTACGTTTTGTATACGGTATAGTTAATATAATTGTTTTGTCGAATATATTCCCTTTGTTTGTTGCTTGCTATTTAAACTGTTGTTTTGTTCCACTAAACTTGTTCTATGTATGTATGTATATTGCTTTTAGGTATGCATTTATTTGTAGGCATTTTATAGTATTCTTTCTTATCGATTTTCCTCGTTACCTAATTTGTATTTTATTCCGTTTTTTCTTTTCTTGTTGTTTCTGTCGTTTATGTTGGTGTTTGGTTTTTAAAAAATCTTTCATAGGGCAGTTCACGTTTCAAATACAATCATCGCCATCCGATCTAGTGCTAACCTCACTATGCAAAAAAAAATTACTTCACCTCTACGGGCGGTCGTATCTCCTTCCTTCTGGTAGTTGCCATTTGTTTAAATCTATGTATGTCTTATTTTTGTATTCTTCGAATTGTATATATTTTCTCGGTGTTTTTTTTTTAATTTTTTTTGTTAATATATTTTTTTTGTATTTTTTAAGATGAAAGATGAGCGCTACAAGGGGCTCTACTTTGGGTAAAGGCTATTCTAGGGGAATAGAGAAAATAGATGGTCGAAATTGAAACCACGAAATAATACCAAAAAGTTTCACAGGATAAAGCGCCTATATATGCCTAACTTTGATCACTCCTTCAACGGATGCCGAAAAATAATATATCTAACTGAATCTGAACCTATATCTGGGGTCTCCATCATCTCCGCTTGGTTGAGGTTATTTTCAAGTCGTTTGTTAGTTTTGTTTCTTTTTTTTTTTTTTGGTTTTCTTGTATAATATGTTTATATAAAAAACGCTTTGTCTTATGCTAGGAAAAAAATTGTATGCATATTTCTGGTATTTTGGTTTTGGGTTTTCTTTATAAAAAAGATTATTACCTTCTAGACACATTTACTTTGATATAAAAAAATGTATAATGTATATTCCGTTGCTTAACACGTTTCATGCTTTAAGTTATTATTGAACAACATTTTAAATGTATTTGCGATTAGGTTTTCTGTGAGGTTACCTTGTTCTACAACGTTAGTTATTAAAATTACCAAAAAAAAATCTATTCAGTTGCTGCGCCTACAATTCGGTCTCGGTATTACAACAAAATTAGCTTGGCTTCTTATGAGTAAAGAAAAAAAATTTTCTAAAGAATTACGAGAAAAAAAATGTCTTATAAAAAAAATGAAGTTCGTTTATGATTTGCCTTTCGTCACATGCTCAAAAAATAGTCACAAAAAAATATTCGCTCATTTAGCTATCCAAGAAAAAAATGAATTAATTTTTACTTTTGGTTTGCCTTGACTTCTAATCACTAATCTAATTACACGAGACAATCAATAGCATAAGGTGCCATATGCATGTATGCGCTCTGCTTCCGATTAAACCGATTAATCCGATATTCGTTATCTATATATCCGCTTACTCACTAAGGCTACTGTGGTTGAGACTCTTGCATTCGATTTAAGTGAGTTCGACGCCGCCTTCCCGACTGGAGGGGCTTTAGAATGAATGTTTCTTACATAGTGATTCAATATTCGCTTTCGATTTTGTATATAATTGTTTGCATTCGCTAGTGCGCGCTGTCGGATTTAATTTGTTTTTGCTTTGTTTTTGAATCGTTATATTTAGTATTCAGCACAACCAAGCTGTAAGTGTTTACTGTGAGTCTTGCATCTTAACTCTTCCTTCTGCAAGTTTCGCTTAAATCTAGTCTTTGTTTACTACTCTTAATTCGTTGACTTATGTGTCACCATAAGTTGGGGAAAACAAAAACCTTCTGAACAGAGTTTTTATAAGCTTAATCAAAGGTATAAATAAAGAGAAAACTCAAGGGGAATGCTGTTTGTGTCGAAAATGTTTATTAAGTTGCCTTAAATAATGTTTTTTCTTATTTTCTTGTAAGATTTGTTTTAAGCCAGAGACATGGTAGTAAAATAATAAAATAAAATTGAAATTCTGATTTTTTTTCCGTTTTTTAACAAAGTAAAATTTTTTCACAATTTTTTTGTTTCTTTATAAGTAATTAATAAAAGTATTGATATAATTTTGCAAAAAGGATTACGCATATTTTGTAGTTTACAAATTGTGGTTCTCTTTCATTTACTTATGTACCTACACCAAAAAAATATTTGTTGCCTGCAGGTGGAGTGACTGGCCAATTTAGAATTTCGAAAAGTGTGTTAAACAAATATAAGAACACATAGAGGAAAAATAAAAAACAAAGTTAAAACGTTATCCATGCGTTTTCTCGAATTAAGTTTAAGCAATCAAACCAAGTCACTCCTATGATTTTACGTGTGTTTTTCTTTACTTTCGATCGTGTCTCTATATTTTCCTTCATCTTTCCCATTCGGTTTCCTCTGATTTTCGTTTTGACGGGCTATTTATCACGTTTCTTTGTTAGTCGCTTCTTGAATGTTACTTTTTGTTTTTCTTGCTGTTACATGCTCAAGTTGTTTCGTAAAATAAACTAATAAAAAAAATGGATTTCAAAAAAAGTATTTATACTTATTGAAAAAAAAAACATATTCATTATAGCTATGAAAAAAATTGGGTTTGTATTGTAATTTTGTCTGATTCTCTTTCTCCTACTCCTACTCAAGCATACTTCTAGCTAAGTTGTTTGCTTTCGTTTTATATGTATGAATAAACAGCCTGAAAACTTGAGCATGTCCAGTCATTTTAGCCATTTCGTTACGTATAATATAGACAAAAAAATTGGATTTATAAATTATGAAAAAAATAATATGTATTCATATATCTGGATTAACTTCAGCTATAAACATACACGATGGCCGTGTACGTTGTTGCGGCATAGTTCGCGCCAAAAAAATCAGTTTCAGACAGAGAAAAAAAAACAATCGGAGCTTATGTCATCACGCCTATAAGTATGCTATATATTATAGATATATATGTGTGTGTTTGCATAATATATTTTGACGTTTTTCGTTATGATTATACGTTATAAATATGTGACAAAAAAATGTATTTCTCATAGGTTTTTTCTCTAAATTTAAGCAAAAAAAGATCTTCGTCGATTTCCCATTCTATATATATATATATGAATATATATAATTATTTATGATTTGTATACATATACGTGTCTTGCCTTAGTGCTAGTTACAAAAAGAAAAAAAAGATTCCTCCAAAAAAAAAGCACAAAAACCAACTACAACATAAGGGTTAAAGTGAGGAACATAGAAAAAAAAAATAGTAAATTAATTCTTGTGGTTTGAGAACATAAAAATTTGGGTTGTTGTATATGGTTTCGATGGATGCTGATACTACGATGATCAATATAAGGTATTCATAGTTATGTATATATAAATTTTTTATATATAATTTATAATTTGAAGATTGCCTTCATCATACGCTTCTCAACTCTCTGGTTATGTACGCCATAAGAATCCGACATTTGCGGAGTTTGTGGATGATGCCGTTGCCGTTGTTGAAGTGGAAGTTGATGCTGCCGCTGATGTTGTTGATGCTGCTGTGGTGGTGTTGAAGCTGTTGCTAAGATGCAGCTGTTGCAACTTGAGTGTCTGCTGATGCAGTTCTTGTTCAGTCGTCGACATATTAAAACTGAAGTCGTGCTGCGGCGATGTGTGGTGATTATTAGTGTTGTTGGTGTGTTTGCTACAGCTGTCGGTATTGCTGTTTCCAACAACGTTGCTGCTACAGTTCTTGTTGTAATTGCTGCTGCTAGCTGCATTGCTGGAGAAGTTGCTGCTGCCGGCTACATTGCTGGAGAAGCTGCTGCTGCTAGCTGCACTGTTCACAAAGTTGCTGCTGCTAGCTGCATTACTGGTAAAGTTTCCGTTGCTGTTTGTGTAATTGCTGCTGCCAGAAAGATGGTTGGTGAAGTTGCTGCTGCCCGCCGAATTATTGGCAAAGTGGCCACTGCTTGTGGGGTTGTTGGTGAAGTTACTACTGCTAATGGCACCGTTACTGGTGAATGTGCTACCGTTGGTGTAATTGCCAGAAAAACTATTGGAGTGATTGGAATTATTATTGAAGCTATTGTTGTTGCTTACGGCAAGCAACTGATTGCCAAGACTGCTACTGCTGCCATTGTGGTGTGATTGGCGTGATTGTTGTTGAAACGGCGGCGAAGATGGCATAGTCAATGGTTGCTGTTGCTGTGATTGTTGATCCTGCGGTTGTTGCAATTGCAATTGCTCCTGCAGATAGTGAAGAGCAGCAACTCCATTCTGACGTATTGTATTGAAGTTAATGTTATTGGCGTTCGTCGTGTTAATGTTATTATTGCTTCCATTTGGACTTATATTGTGAGCAGCAACATTGCCCAGGCGCTGTTGTTGTGGTTGTTGTTGATGGTATTGCTGGTGGTAAAGTAGCATGTTGCTCTCGTTGCCATTACCATTGCCAATACTATTATTGGAGCTACTGTTGAAGCCCAACGCCTGCTGCTGATGTTGTAGTAGTTGCTGCTGCTGTTGCGGTGTCAATTATAAGTAAGGATAATGGTACTTCCTGCGGTACAATCCGTCAAGCAAATCGGCAAAGTTATCGCCTAGATTGATAAAAGGTGCGAAAGCGAAGAAAAGGTTAAAAAAAACAAACAAAATTTATTAGTATATTGTTTCAATAGTGTTTTAAGGTATCATGCTCTATCTCTATATAAACGAATACATTAGAAAAAAAAAACTTAATATATAACTTATCCCTTCATTCTGGTAGAGCCCTGACTTAACTAGCCTAGGTGAGAGAGATTAATTAGGTTTAGTATTTTTTTTAGAGAGTTTTGTTTGCCTTCTTGTTTTTAGATGGTGTTGGGTTAGTGTTTATTGTTGTTTGTTTTCTTGTATTTTTGTTACTTTTGATTTACATTTAGGGATTTTTTTGTAGTTTTAATTCAAGCTGAAGTTTTGTAATTGCGTTATATTTATTTGTTTTTTGATTACAAAGGTTTTCCCACTCGGTAAGACACACGATTGAAGGGTTTTCGTAATTTTCATTAAACGTGCCATGTTTTCTGTTTCCATTTCAGTTTTTGTGGAACTATTGGGATGGGACGGGAATTGGATTGGTGTTATCAAAATAAATTGATGACTGATCTGGTGATGGTCTATTTATGTGTGTTTTTGTGTTTGTGACTGATCTGTGGGCGTATTTCAAACACTCACATACAAATATTCAAGTGCGTTCAAAGAACATTAGCAAGCAAAACATGTTGTATATAGTTGTTTATAAATATCTAGTTGGAGATTTAAAAAGGTTTTTAGTTTAGTTTAATTTTTTTTAGCGAGAAACATTTACGAACTGGATAACTTTGATGAAGTAACAGGAGTTCGCAGAGCAGACAAAGCAGACTGTTAGGGGATTTTGGATTAAACGATAATCTAATGAAAAACAGTAAACAAAACTTTTCAAACGAGGGGCTCTAAGAGATCTCGGTTTTAGTTTTCATAGGGGTGAATATTAAGCACAAGCAAACACAGGTTTTGTTAGCAATTTAACTCTTGGGAAGGCCAGCATCAGAATTTTAAATTTGTTATTTATTTATTTTTTTGATTCAATTTGAGTTCGAATTGGGTTTTATCTAGAAGTACAATTTTTTTTTTTGGCAGTTTTTCAATTGGAACTTCTCCAAATAGCGTTCTACGTCCCGGAAAGATGCTCCAAATGAAAAAAAAGCGTTTGAGCAAATGCCAAGGAGCCAAAAGTTCAGCCTGGTAACTAAATCCATTTTTTTTAGAGAGAGAGATGGTTTAGTAGCTGGATGATGACATGAGAGAAAGTAATAACGAAAAACATGGCACGCTTTAAAAAGAAAATTCGGCTTCATTGCATGTATTTTTTCATTATAAATATATATTTTATATAGATTGATGAGAAATTTAAAAACTGAAATTGAACATTTATTTTCTGTCTTCTCAATTATGTGGGAGCGCATGAGTGTGCGTGTGTTGTGTGTGTCTGTGTGGGTGTGCTCTCTTCTTGATAGACTCTACTTATATCAATTATAGACTCTGTTATTTGATCTCTCGGCTAGATCTGTCTTAAGGGCTCTCAACAAATAAAAAGCTCTATAATTATTTGCTTTTCTGCAGTAGAAAAACATGAAACTATGCTAGTTTACGACTAGGAGTAGTTAATTAGAAATATAAGTATATAAAAAAGGAATAATTACTATCGAGACCAAAGATAGCATCGCATATAGCATCGAATAATGAGCGTAATTTTTCCATAGCTCCGTCTATAATGAAAAAAGGAACAAAACGAAAAAAAAATTGTACAACTTGGATTAGTTGCGGCGCATATTGAGTTTTTTGTGGGGTTGCTTGGTTTTGGATGAAATGAGGGAATAAATAGATTGTTTATTTTTTTTTTGGTTTATAGAGATTATTCAATTATTAAGATCTTGTCTTTTCTTTGCTTTTAAACATTTCTTTTGTCAACAACAATCAATGAAAATGAGTTAAGTCGGTCGTTTTTCCTTCGGCTGAGGAAGGAAAAGCGATCGGTTCGGGGTTAGTGCGGTGAGTAGATAAAAGTACAATAGAGTATCTACGGCTTGGAAACAACAAATGCGAAATACAATAAGAAACACAAACTACGGTTGAACTTGAAAATGGGAGACCAGTAACTAAAGTCAAGCTAAAAAAATTAAACCAAACTAAAAATGAGTAATTTCAATCCAAACTGTCTTCGGCGAACATTTCCGAAGTTCGAGGATATTCTTGCCATTGATCAGGGGAATGTTAACATCTTTTCACAATGAGCATTGTATTGCAAGGATATCGTTTTACACTTTCACAAGCTTAACACAAAACGTTGCGATCTGGCTGATATTAAAAAATAAAATAATTTAAAATATTAATTTTATAACCTTTTTCCTATTTTTGGTTTTAATTAAATGTGTTATTTTCCCCAAAAACAGCGTTTTTGCATAAAGACCAAAATAAAATCTAATCGTGTTTTTTTTATAGCTATTTTCTAATCAAAATAAAACAATGCAACTGATATTTTGATAAAATGGAAAACAACAACAACAAAAAGCTTTACAAAAATGTAAATTAAGGTTTCAAATAAAAAAATAAATGAAGGGTTAAGCAATATCTACAAATAAGTTCGGATAGGTTTGCACATTTGTTGCTTGGCTTTGGCAGAAATTATTGTAAAGGTAATTATATAAATATATAAAATTGATTCCTTAAATATTCACACTGAAAACACTGACACGGAAAAAAATATAAAAAAAAAATTTGTTATGCGATTTTTCTGATTTTGTTTTTCTGAGAGCACTAGGCAGAGATGAGTAACAAAAAAAAAAACATAGCTTAGCACACAGTTTTCACTTGAAGAAAATGTTATTATGAAATACACTGGCAAAAAAAGTTGAAAAAAAAGTTGTTTTTTTTTGCACTGGAACCGATAAAGGGGTGTATGGGTTCATAGAGAGCGACAACAATATGGGTTTAGTTTCGTGTCTATTTTATCGTTGATATTTCGATCCATTCATAAAAAAAATCACATTAAAAAAATAGAAAAAAAAAATGCAGGTTTATGAGTGGGGTTCTGAGAGGTTCTTTTTTTGAGGGGTGGTTGTGTGACTTTTGGCAGCACCCCGTTATCGTTTCGGTTGAGTGCGCGCATACTTACCATGCGCCTTTCACTTCTTTCTAATCACTTTCACAGTGTCTCTATCTGTCACACAGTCGTCCGCCTCTCTCTGTCTCTTGTGCCTGGGTACTGTAACTGTAACGGAAAATCTGCACTCGCGCTCTCGTTCGTACCCTCTTGCACGCACGCGTGGTAGATGGGGAATGGTGATATTCTGCCGTCTCATTCTCTCGATCCTACACACACACTCGTACACACATACTCACACCAAACACACACACACACAAGGCAGATAAGCAAGATCAAAAATAAAAAAGAAAAACAAAAAAATAGTGAAAGGAGTCTGGGAGAAAAACTTCCCGTTGTGAAGTATATGACATCCAGATGCATCTGGCATTTTCCAACACTGCATTTTTCAAATTAGCTTGAACTTGAAAAAAAATAAAAAAAAATTGCGATTTTGGTTTTTGGTTTTATGTTTGTTTTGCTTTTCGCCTTTTATTATATTCAGTTTCTCTTGTCACACTTTCGGGATCTTGTTTTATATACTTGATTTTTGTTTTGAAATGCTTTCAACGCACTACAAACTAAATAATTATTAAAATTTAACGCTATTTTATAGAATAGGTTTCATATAGAGAAATATATATGTATATCATAAGTATATCTAAATAGGTTTTTTTTTTGTTAATTATTTGTGTTTTTCGTTTTTGTCGATATATGGGATAAAGTTGATGATAGAAGATAGCAGTTGAAAAACAGAAATATTTGGGTTTTCTTGTTTTTTTTTCATGTTGTTTATTTTGCAGTAGATTGTAGTTGTTGTTGTCGCTGGTATAGATGGGCAAATTAAAACCAAAAAAAAAGGCGTGATTTGATTTCAATATTATTGATGCGATCTGAAGATGCTGAAGAGGTAGTGGTTCTAAAAGGGGTTACAGGGTAATGCTCGGCAACGCTTTAGTAATTTTTACTCCTTTAGATTTGTATTTTATATCGAGATTTGTTTTACTTTTATAATTCAGTTCTGATTGCTTGGTTGCAATATTTGTTTTATCATCTGTAGTCTCGCACCAGTCTTTTATGTAAACAGGAAAAAAATTTACCAAAAAAAAAACTTCAGGATCGAAAAAAAATTGCACAATCTCTGCGTTTAAGTGGGGATATATATAATTTTTTTTGTGGGTTATGCTTTTCTTGCTATTTTAGTTAGGTATCGATTCAGTCCTTGGTTGGTTTATCTCTTTGTTGTTAATATATATTTTTCATTATGTGCATTTATATTATTTATATAAAAAAAATTGCTGCTTTATGTTTTATTATTGTGCTGTATCCGGGGGAAAAAAAAAATTTCCACTTTGGAACACACACACATAAAAAAAATTGTTTTAAAAAATGGCTTTTGACCAACACTCCTACGCGAACTTTTCTTCAAGTGCTAGTTTACCGGTATGCTTGGTTCTTTGTGTTTGTGTGTGTGTGTATTTGTGTGTTCTGTTGTTATCAGAGTTGTGAAAGAAAAGCTTAAGATTTAAGCCTAAACAAAAAACGTCAAGATTTCGGTTTTCTATTTAGTTGTAGGTTAGTATCTAAAAATTACTTTTTTTAAGTTTTCCAAATAATTATTTTTAATTTTTTTTAAGAGTTTTGTATTATTTCCAATTACACTAAAAAATTAAAATACAATTCAATCTCTGTTTTTTTTTTATCCAAATATACGACATATATATTAGTATAATATATATGCACTGCGAAATTGCAACAATAAATTGAATCATTTACGTATTACCGAGTTAAGAGCAAATAATAAAACTAAGTATGCATTCGTATTGTTGTTGGTTGTTAGTTAGTGATTTGTTTGTTGTTGGTTGGATTGTTTTACGTAGCCTGCTGTTTTGTTGTTGTTGTTTTTGATAGTAAAATAAAAAAAAAACAAAATTAATCAAGGGGTTCAGATGTAAACACTCTCAAGATTAAGTGGTATATATGTATTCACTATATACCCAGCAGATCGCTCTTGATACTTGTGTGTTGGCTTGTGTGTTTCATCTTGTATTTGTTTCTGGATATTTGTATTTCAGATAAACTTTTTGGCATCGAAATAGGGATGCGAGTTTTGGAAGCGTTGCTGTGATTTTATTGATCTACCTCTGTGCACCATATTGTTGAATCCGGCGGCCATATGTGGTGGCGGTGGTGGTGGCGGCGGTGGGACATTCGGCGCAGCCACGCCCATCTGCGACATAAAGTGGGCCGCCTTCGCCTTGCCGTGCTCCTCGGCCAACCGGACGGACAGCGGCTGCGATCCGCCCTCGGGTATTACGTTGTTCAGTGCCGATATGGCCTCCTGGGCCTCCTCACGCTTGTTGTACCTATATAGTTTGATTTATCGATCAAAATAACACACCGATAGATGATGGCAAATGAGCGATGGTTTATAAAAATGAGAGAAAAGAAAGAAAACACATAATGAGCCGGGTGTCGAAATAATAAGGGAAAAACATAATACAGTTGGCCAAAGGCATTCAATGGTCATTCGAGTCACCAATTCTATACTTCCACAACTTCTAAATGAAATTGTAGTCACAATAGTATAGAACATTGAACTCAGAGAACCTCGATTGTGGGCATAAACAGACCCTTTCTTTAGTCTTCTGATTGCACATCTTAACCATATTACACTATATTGGGCACTCACCGAACAAAGGCCACACCACGAGGACGACCTGTGAGCTTGTCACGCAAGATGTTCTTCTGCACAATGGAACCGTACTTGCCGAAGATCGTGTCCAGCTGATCGTCGGTTATGGTACGCGGCAGATTGGTCACATACAGATTGGTGTCCTTGATCGATTCTCCTCCGGGACGAGCGTAGGAAACCTTTATGAATATAAAATAAGAACGCATTAGATATCTCACTCTTTGGCCTACTGGAGTACTTGAAAGATCTTACCTTGAGCCGCTTGTTGCGTACTGTGATGCCATTCAGTACTTTAATGGCACGCTGCGAGTCCATTTCCGATGTGAAATCCACGAAAGCATAACCAAAACTGTAGCCAGTCTGTGTCGAATGGTAAGTGGGATGGGATTTAATTAGGTTTTGTATTTGATTGAGAATATGGAGCTATCTGATGTATATATGTATTTGGAAAAAGACGCTTACCTTATAGTCTCGCATGATTCTGCACGTGTTGATGGGTCCAATGGCTCTAAAAAGGGCGTACAGCTCGCGATCGGTCATGTCCTGGGGCAAGTAGTTGACAATCAGGTTGGTGTTGCTTGCCCGGGGATCGTTCATGAGATCATCGCTACCGCCGCTGCCCAGCGACAGTCCGCAGAGGTTATTCAGCGAATTGTTGCTGGCCATCGGCGGCAGGTGGCACATGTTGCCGCCCCCAAGATTATTGGCACTCCCACCATTTCCGCCGCTGCCGCCGCAGCCGGGGAAATCATTGTAACCGCGACGCGACGAGGAACTTGGAAATGAAAATTCTGTATCCTGTGGCGAGAACGCATAACGTGACTGTAATCAGATTAACCATACAAAGATATTCTAGTGTTGTGAGAAGGCCTCATTTCGCTTGTCTTGGGGTTGATTATTAGTAGATTGATTGGATTGGATGGTTCGGTTCGGTTCGGTTTGACTGGCTGCTGCTTGGTTGTTATATTTCTCGAGTTCTCGAGATCGATATAGAACACATAATGTACATACATATATCGATTGTTGCTTTCGGGTCAGCAACAACAACACACAACTTGGTTAGTGGATGAGGTGGCGAAGGTTCGGAGTGGCTTAAAACGTAGAAATCTACGACAAAAACGCTAACGGTAACAATATTCCAAATGCAAATCTCCCGAAAAATCGTTACTTCATTGAATTTCATTGGTTAGATTTAAGGGCGTGCTTGAAACTCGAGTGCAGCGATTTTGAATTGTATTTGATTTTTGATTTAAAGCATTAAATCGAAACATTCTCTTGCTTCACTGTACTTCCGTGTGTGTTTTTTGTTTGTGTGAGCTAAACGGCATTCACAGGGTTGCAAAAACCAAAGAAAAAAAACATGGAATTTCAAGAAATGCATAAAATGTTTCTTCCCTTGCTTAGTTTTCTTGAGCTTTTCTTTAGTGTGCTGTGTTAAGTCTGTTTAAGTATTTCTTTGAAGGTGTGTTTTCTGAGGGTCTGTGTCATTGAGGTGGCAGATATACAGTGCGAAGCAAAAATATAATGACAATGGTATTTTTGTTCTTTTTTAATGCGGTTAGGATGAACATGAAGTGAATTTTGTATGGACATAATGCTATGGGTTCTTTTTTTTTATCAATATAGCCTTTCTCGTGTCATCTAATGCCATGATATGAAGTGTATCCAATTTTTTGCTAGTCAGTGTAGTAAAGAGTGCGCAAAACGCAAAACGGAAGCCCAAGCTGAGGCGGAAACGGAAATGGACGCGGAAAGGGAAACGGACAATGTGGCAGGGCGATACCTAAAGAGGTATTTCTATTAAAAAGTGTCTTTGTTTTTCATGGCTCATGCAGGTGAGGTGAGTATTTTTGCTTGGCATTCGTATTTCTGTGTGTTCATTGTTTAGATTATTCTATTTAAGGGTTTTGTATATTTATAAGTTGTTTGTGTTGTCGTTGCTATTTGAGTTTTCTTTGGTTTATGTTTATTTTGTATCTGTTTGTTTAGGTTTTGTTGTTTAATTTGCAAACTTTAAGTTTTTAAATTGACTTTCATCATTATCAATAAACCAAAATGAAATTGTTCAGCATCCATAAAATAATTCAGTTATGTTTTTAGTATTTGTTGGTTATTCAAAAGCGTGTGTCCCCAGAGCGTTCATGAGACAAACTCAATAACATACAACTATTAATAGTAAAAGGCATAAAATTTATATTATTATTATTGTTATGATTATCAAAAACGAAACCGAACAAAACAAAATACAAAAGTCAGTCAATATCAAATGCATTGCCTTGAATTTGGTTTCAAATGAATTGCTTTTTTCTCATCGTTCATTTACTTGATTGCTTTCATGCAATTGAAAATGGAAATTTATCGCTAACAATAATTATAAATTTCAGGCGTAAGAATGAGTATATAAATGTAATGAATACTAACCATTCCGGATGGCAGAGAATGGGACATGCCAAATCCACGCCCACCGCTATAGGATGTATCCATTCCAATTCGTTAGGGAAGAGAAAATAACGATTAGCACTCAGAGAAATGATGGTGTTGTTGGTTATTGGTTCAGGTAAAATACCATTTAAAAATTATCAAAATTATATGTATAAAGCGCAATCTACTATATATTAATTAGCTATTTTGAAAATATCTTTAAAATGATTAAGAAATGTTTTGGCGCTGGATGATTTGACGATTCTTTTCTTACTACTAACTTAGGCTTACGACTAATGTGTTTTAAAAACTTGCTGCAGAGTACATGCAGTAAGTCATAAGACTTAGGTTTAATTTTAATGAGAAAACCATTAAATATTCATAAAAAAAAACAGAGAAATATTAATCCGGAGATTCTGCAGATTCTTGGAGAATATAACGTAGCCTGACCCTTCAAACGATCCCTCAGTTATATTCAACCGTAAATACTGCAAAACCCCGTTTGCCTTAAGATGAAAACATAGTTTCCACTTTAAATATTGGCACTTAGAAAAAACATGATGTATTTTTTTTGTACTTTCGAATCACCGAAAAAAAAGAAAAAAAATAATCATGGGACTATACTAGTAACCCATTGTTTATTTCCAATATCGGACACTTTGTGTTGGAGCACATTTTCACTTTAAAAAAATAAAAAAAAATATATCACTTTTGGCACTTTTTTTATCACATTAACAAAAAAAGGGATTAGGGACTTTTAATAGTTTCGGACATCGCAGTCTCTTCCCACGTCGAATTTTGACTGCAGATCAGATGTAGTTCATACGGTTAGGTCTAAGTTAGGGCTTATATTGATTTTTATAGTATTTTATAAGCTGTTTCCCCAATATTTCTCCATTATATTATATATTTGGTTTTTGCCTTTGGCTATAAGAGTCTTAGAGTCTTGTTACTTACAGGGCTTTGGAGGTGTCCTCGATTCAAAAACATTGCGTTTCGATGGCGAGGAGACCATGGGGGGCGGAGCTGGCGCGTTTGCCCCCCCGTGCAAATTAAAACTACATAATATCTAAAGAGTCAGTGAGTGTCTTTCGCTTTTCGGTGATAATGGTGGCTGCTTCTTTCTGGGCTGTGGAAAAAAATGTCTACACACGATTAAATTCAGCTGCGGTACAACGTCGATGATGGGCGTTACATAATTTTTGCTAGAAGGGGGTTTTGGTTCTTGTTTATGAGTTGGGTGTTTTTCTGGGGTATGTGTGTTTGTGTGGGCTGGATGTTTTAAATTTCACTATATGTACGAAAAAAAAAAGTGAGACTGAGAAATCTCAAATACTCGCTGGCAAGGTCACACTAATTTCATGAGCTTGTTTTCATTTTGCACAATAAAAAAAAGGTGAGATACAAAAGTCTCAATTACTCCTTGAAAAAGTTACGCTGTTGTTTTCTTGTTCTTTTGCCATTTTGCTTTTGTTTTTATATTGCACAGTAAAAAAAAGTAAAAAAAAGTGTCACTAAAAAATCTCAAATATGCGCTGACAAGGTCACTCTGCGCTGGTGTTGATTGTTGACATTGTTGATTGATGCGATGCTGCTTCTGCTGCTGCTCTGCTTGCGGTTTGATGTATTAGTATTTGTAGTTTTGCTCGGCATTTTATGACCTTTTGCAAATGTTGCATTTGCATTTGCTTTATGGGTTTTACTCATTTCTGCTGATACTCTCGCAAGAGGAAGGGAGATGGTCAGCATAGGGATTCAGAGAGTGAGAGAACTTTGGGGGGTAAAGGCAATTTGTCGGCTATATGCATTGGGATATGTTAGGGCCTTAGGGATTGGGGGGTAAGAGTGAGAGCGAGATGGCGACGCAATAACCACAACAACAACCGGTGCTTAAGGCTAGTTATAAACTGTAAAATCTCCCAACACATGCGTGGAAAAAGGACAACCATACGTACATAACTTAAGGCTACTGCATGTCAAGGTCCTGACACAATATTCGCAAAGCACGTGATGCACTAAATTTGGAGAGGGCGCCCTTTTGTGGCTGCTCTGTTTACATTTCATCGACTGCTGTATAAAGTGCCATAAATTATACGACCCCAAAAAAGGGGAAAGAAGAAGCAGCGCATATAAATGTCACGAATGACGCTGCTTCTGCATTTTCTCCATTTTTTCGCCATCTATTTTATGCCCTAGGAATATCATTATAGAAATCAGACCACTTCTTGACCCCGCTTTTCATATTTTTTGTTGGGTTTTTTTTGGCAGCAAAAAACAGTCAATTTGTCATTTCTTAGGCAAAACTTAAGGCTTACGTTCTAATTGAAGATCTGGCGATGGAAGATATATGGATAATGCGAGGCGAGAAAAAAAAACTGACCGAAAAAAACGAAACAAAATGCATTTAAGGCAACAAAAATAACTATTTATTTGTTGGTACAGTTACGCCAAGCAGTAAGTGTGGAACAGAGAAAAAAAAGAGATAAAAGAGAGAGGTAGAGTTTTAAGAACATTTACCGGTACATTGTGAGACTGTTTAGGTTGCACAATCCGCCCGATGAGAACGTTTTTAGGCCGTTTCTATAATCCTCTTGCCACAAACGAATTGCCCAGATACGGATACATGTATCTGCCTTGTTTTACGCGTGTATATGTAAGAAATATATCAAGTTTCGATTCCAAGCGGAATCAAAACGCTTCTGATGGCCCAAACATGGCGCGCGTTCGGTCTTTGTAAATGCAGTTCGATCTTATAAATGGTTAATGTGTATATATATATAATATATATATCAATATGGAAGATTGCGTTACTTTACGTTGTTTCACGTTGATCGGTTAACATTTTTGCATATTGCTTATCTTTTATCACATACAACTGTAAATATAGGACAAAAATAAAGCATGTCGCGATTACGAAAACACGCAGACGACGATCAGCTGATTCAAAGTGAAAGTGTGTGCGAGTGTGGGATAAATGCGAGCGCATGAATGTATGCTATGAAAAATGGCACAACGCAAACGTAACAACTAGATCGAACGATTTATATGGTAGATACAGCTAATGAGGGGATTACTATGTAATTAAAAAAATAACATCTTTTTTTATAGGGGTTTGCTTGGAAGGAAATGAACGTTTTCTAAGAAAAAACAAACAATGAATTTTCAATTGGGAGCGGAGCTTTTCAGGGGCGGGCTGTCACTCACAAGGGGGTTTCCCCTTAAAACGATTGACTGTTTTTTGCTGCTCTGGTTCGCTATCAATGTGTTTTGTGTGTTCGTTTGTGTTAATTGCCTTTTGTATTTAATCGATTATTGGTTTTCTATTATCATTGATTGCACCATCTAGCACATGTAACATTTAATTATACTTATATAAATCCTCCTTGTTGTTGCTGCGGTTATTGTTATCCATTCCTGTGGCTGTTCTCGTTGTTTTTCTTTCTTTCTCTGATAATATCAGAGCGCAAAAATAAAACAAAGAATCAAGTGAACTAAAAACTAAACAATGTGTTGGTGTGTGAATGTGAAATGAATAGGGGGAAGAACACCACCTAATATGATTTTCTTTTCTTTTTTTCTTTGCCAGCGACATCGACAGCAAATCGATAACAATCTCAAGATCTTATCGACTGGCAATCGACATCCTTCCCTGCACAAATACCAATGCACATATGCCGACAAGTGTTGCTAGTAAAAGAGATTTCAAACAAGCAAAAAAAATGTTTACTATCATAACCAATAAATCTAGGTCTAAACGAAATATTAACGTTGACTGCAAACTATTTTCCAGCAACAAGGAATTTTTTTCTTCGTACAAACTATTCAAAAAAAAGGTTGGTTTGGTCTTTTGTTCGTTCGCCAAAGAGATCTGGGTAGCAAAAAAATTAGGTAAACACTGTATCATCCTTACGTTTTGTGTGTTATATGTGTGGGAAAGAATTGGCGGAAGGGAAGTGGGAATGGGGATAGGGACTAGGGTACTACAGTCGAAATTCTCTAGCATAGAAATATTTATCGAAACGATTCGCAAAGCTATATGCATTACATATTTACTACATTTGTCACAGTATATCAATGAAAACAAAAATATTGAAAATAGTAGAAAGGGGACTTTAATAGTTTTAAAACTTTCAAGAGAAGTTCGACTGAATGTTTGAGTTTGAAATTCGAATGGGAATCAAGATCAAACACAAAAGTTATGGATGTGGCTGACGAAACGTAAGAACTCAAGTTTAAAAATTTACCTCGACTTGTTGTTGTAGCCATATGGGGGATAACCACCGTTATTATTGTTACTACCCGGATTATTGTTGCCGTACATATCCTGAGAGTTGCGAGTGTGTTTTTCGAATCAACAAAAGTTACACCCTCGATCGAAGGTGAGTTTTGGTTTTAAGGGAAAAGGATGATGAGGTGAGTTGGAGTTTAGTTGAGTTGAGGCTAAGAACGATGATCGATTCGATCGATCTCTTCCTCGACTTTCAATTGTTTTGGCGCTCAGCGCTCTCAGCTGGCCTGCTGCTGTCGTTGTTGTTGTTTTCCTGCTGCTTCTCTTCTGCCTCTGTTCAACTTTCTTGTGTTGTACTAATATTGCTGTTGCTCTTTTGTGTTCTTTTTACATGTGTGCACGCACACTCTGCTTTCCTCTCTTAAGTCCTATGGGTTTTTTCTCTTAGTGTGTGCTTATTTTTGCTGTTCTTGTAGGCGCGCTGTTGTAGTTGTTGTAGTAGTTGAAGAGTTGATAGAGTTGTTGTTGTTGTTGGTACTAAGAGTTGATTGATTCGATTTAGTTTAGATTCAATTGAATTTCCCTTATCTTGGGGGAGGGGAGGGGGTTGAATGGTGGTTCTACATTTATACGATGGCAATAAAAACATGACAAAGACGTGAATTGTGTGCTGCGCGATTCAATGAACGAAATATAATGAAAAACCAATAACTAAATAGAGAGAAGCTCCGTAAATCGTTCCACGCATTGAGCTGAATTTATATGTGTGTGAGTGTTTAAAACTAGAGTTGTCAAGCGTCAAGAAAAATCAATGTATTCATTTGAATACATTGCATGTAGCTATTGTTTACAAGTAGATACCCAAAAAATATACACAAACATAATAATTTTTTTGAAACACTTAAAAATATACTTAATAAAGACTTAAATCTTTAACACATTGCATACAGTCGCTGATCCAGGGTTGCCCTACCATAAGTTAAAGCAAACGATTTCTTAAAACAAGTAACTAGCATAATAAGATGCGCATTTATACAATAATTTGACTAGCAATCAAGTGACTGAATAGAACACGACATACCTGGCCATCTTAAAGTTATAGTAGGACGACATGGTCGAACAGGGAGTCACAGTATCGAAATTGAAATCCATAATGGGATAATCACAATGTTAAGTTTTTCAACCAATTGAATGTAAGACACACAACAAATCACAAGATCACAGGACACAAGTTGGACTTGTCACGAGTGGAACTCAACTGAAGAGGTCCTGCGGGCCATCGATCTATTTAAGGATCGTCGGAGGGGTTCCGAGCGAGTGGGCGGTGGCTGGGTGGCAGGTAGAAGATCGAAGGAGGCAAGGTGCGCGTGCCAGTCGCGTGGGCTACCTAAGATCCCGCTAGGAAGTGTGCCAGGCGTACTTTCTTGGGTGGCCGGCTGCATCTCGCGGATCCCCGATACCCGGATCGCGGATCTTCGCAGGCAGGCAGATGTTCCGCATTCTCGGAAGCTGGATGCCGGCAAGGTGATAGCCCTATTTTTTGGGCCGTTGGGTGGAAAACGCCGAAAGGTGGAACGTGGCAAGCTGCAACCGGCAAGCTGCAAGTTAATTACTTGGAAGCAAGCTGCATTTTGTATCGCTACCCGACTTAATTTCCGTTGAATATGTTATAGTCCTTAGGTACTAAGACTCCTAGAAAGTATCAAACTTCCACTTTATGACGGCATATCAAATTGAATTATTAATTAAATTTCAGTCTGAGCATGGGCAATCAAAACGTAATCAGTTATTGAACCAATAACAGCACAACACTATTTGCATATCGAATCAATCATCAGTAAATATCTATTGCCTTTTAATTACATAAATATATCAGTAATTAAAACTCTGCTATTCTACTCAAATTCTAATCAAGAAAAAATTCATTTATCCATTTTACTATTAAATATAAATCCTGCAAAGAGTCACATCGCTATTAACTATAGATCCCCATTAACATAATCCCCACCATAAATAACCCATTATAGGTCCTATTTTCCTGCAGGCCAATTGCAGCTGCCTTTTTGCTCGGATTTCAGACAGGGGCAGGTGAAAATGCAGATTTACCTCCCCCGCTTATAAAAATGCCGGGTGGAAAAAATAGAGCTGCCCAAAATACAAAATACCAGGAACTGAGATTGCAGGAAAATTCGTTGCCAATTTTTCAACAGAAACTTTAAGACAGTCAAGGTGTTTGGTTCACTCTAATCGAGCATTTGGTTTACTTACACTACATAATATCCTGCATTTTCCATAATTAAAAACTAAGTTTACTTGATACTCGGTGAAGTTAAAGTATGTACAAAGTGGTAATTTAGTTGTGGTATAAAGTTTGAAGAAATTCGTATTTTAATAATCATGGCTTACAATTGAGTGCACTAAATAATTAATTTGAATCAGTTGCATTGTACCAGATAGAATTTTCGTCTACGCAGAATGTCTATGAACTCACTTCCAATCTAATCAAGTAATATTTCCAATAAGCCCAAGCAGGAAGCAAATCCATTGGATACTATATACCTATGTATTCGTCCTACGCTTGGGATCCCCCAGCAAAGGAAATAAAAGAAAGAGGCAATTTTTCTTATTTTAAGGAAGCAAAAGAGGAACCAAAACTTTTGGCCAACAGAGAACAAGGAAAATGGAAAAGACGAAGCTGGGGAGAAGAGGAGCCAGAGAAAACGAGGGCAGCCAAACGATGGCGAAAAATTGGGCGGCGGGAAAGTGGGTGGGGCGGCCTAAATCGCATTGGGTCGCTCAGAAACATAAAAACCAGAATAAAAGCCGGGTGGAATGGGGTGGTATGGTCACCAAATTCGAGGGCTGCTCTTTTCCCATGTACAATATACAACAAATGCCGAAAAAAAAGAAAGGAAAACAGAAGCCCAGGGAAGGAAAATGAAAATATGTAGAGACATATATAAAACAGCGTGTGTACCTCGCTTTCCAGCGTGAAAACGGAAAATGCGGAAATAGAGAAATGAAAAGCGTCACAGGCTGTGAATTCGGGAAAGGCAAAAGGAAAGAAGGAAAATACAATACAGGGTAACCTGAAGGTCGGTCTCTCTCCAAAAATGGGAGAGCCCAGAAATGAAAGAAAATCCAAACACAAGTAATTGAGTACCACAGTCCCATAGACTTTCCATATGCAGATGGGTGAAAGCTAAATCACTGTGAAATCAAGCACCAAATCAAACAAAAGAAAGTCCAGCACGCACAAAACCATTTGGTAATAATATATCCAAGGATGGTACTCGTATTGAAACTTTAAAAATATCTACTTTCAAAACCATTTCAAAATATTGAAATAGTATTTGATATTTGTAACTGTTAAATAATTCAACTTAGTAAATAATAATGCAATGACACACAAGTTCAGTGAATAATTGAGAAAGACTCTGTACTTCACAGTAATATATGTAAAAAAAAAAATGTAGCCATTCGTTGACACCATTTAGCAGGCATTTTTCAACAGTGTACGGGGGAAAGAGAGGGAGAAAGCGCCAGCGAATTGTAAAGCAATAACAAAATGCTAGAAAACTTTACAGTATGATAACAGTAGTCGGCTAATTTGGAGCACAGTTGTGTAAATAGAGCAGCACTATTATGCACTGCTCGCTTGAACGTGTGTGCGAAACAGCTGATATAAGCCCATTTAAGTACATGAGCTAATATGTACATCTAGATACGTATATCCAAAGATATGTATGCATGTGCACATCTCTGCGTCTAACAGTCGCTCAGCTGGGTAAGTGAGTCATGCACCCGCATGCATGAATGGATCTCGGTCTGGAAACAAAATCATAACGGCATTGCCAGAAACAATTGAACGATACATCGAACATTCCAGCTGATCGCCAGCTTGGATTGTTGTTATACTGCTGTTATTGCTATTTCAAGTGTATCCAAAATCGTATGTGTGTATGTTTTTCAAAACATTGAGCGAGCTTAAGTACAGTGGACACTTGACACATGCTCGTATTTAATTCTGTTCATATTAAATATTAAATACATTTTACTTGAATGCATTGCATGAGGAACACACAAAGCTACAGAATTGCCTTTCTGATTTACATATCAAGATACAGTGTTTTAATGTGATGCTAAGCAGTTGCATTATCTGGCGACCACTGTGGGGAAGCTTTTAATGATTAAAGACCAAATAAGGTTTAAAACGGGGTGCAACGATCATGGTAATTGTGTAACGTGCCATTTGAGCAAGGGAATGACCTCAGTGGAATGCAGAAAGCTGAATTACGAGTGTTGGGGGAGGTGGGGGTACTTGCTGCCACCATTCCAATATTCCAATACGTTTTAACCGAACGATCGTTGCGACGCGACGTCATTGCCAACAGCAAGAAGGGGAATGACCCAAGGAGAGGCGGAGATGAAGAGAAGAGCAGATAAATGCAGCTGCCCCCTCCTCTCCTCACCCTCCAGCCAGCTGCAACTTGGAAAACAAAAAATACGGCAGCTGAACGTGCGAGAGAGACAACAGCAGAGAGCAATGCGAACGTTTTTCCCTTGCGCTCTCTACCTGCCTGGAAATATCCTAGATCCCTGATCTTCAATGGAAAAAGGAGAGCCATAAAACTAAAAGGCGCGTGTCGCTAATGAGGATCTTTTAAATTATGTGTCGTTAACTAAAGCTATATAAACACGCATCGAAGAATTGACAATTATTTTAATTGCAGAAGCTGTGTGGAACTCCAAAATTTGCCATATCTTATCCAGGGGCACACATGTAAGCCAAAACAGGGAAAAACAAGAACACGTTGCTTTCAACGATAACAGCTGGCAATGCCGTCGACGTATGGCGCTCGCCACAGTCGACCACCAACAAATAGGTCTGTATTTATCGAGCTGAAAATTTTATCCAAAACTCTTCTGAATCATAAGAACCGACATTCTAAATTGTTTCTAAGAAGCGATTGAAGTGTGAAAAATATTTAATTAACATGGAAATTATTATTTAGACAATTCAACGCTTTTAAATATAGTCTGTTTTTACTTTCATACATTTATTGGATTTACAATAAAAGACGTCCATTTTATCGACTGCAATTTAAGAACTCCACTTAATGCGCAGCAAAAAGCACATGGTGGCACATTTGGCGAAACAGGAAGTAATATGTATACAGGATAAGCGTAAATGTAGGTAGTCAAGATGCAGCGGAACTAAAGGAAGTGGAAAAAGGAGACGCAATAAAAACTCAGGTACTCCGCGAAATCTATACCAGAGTTTTCGACCCTTTACATCTGGACGCGACTGTATGCATGTGTATTGTTGCCTTTTTCACCCACTTTTTATATCTTTAACTGCCCTTGGGTTTCTCTTGTCGTTTCTTTGCTCAAAAAAGCTGTTTATATACGAACTAAAAACTTACCCAGAGTTTTGGTTATTATTATTTATTTAGAGTCTAGAAGGGAAAACAAAAGAATTAAGCACTCACACACACGCTGGTGTATGTACACAAACATACATATGTACATTTCCTAACCACTTACTGTTTTACAATGTATGTATATATGATTTTTGGGCGATGTTTTCATGTTGCTATGTACTACACAACTGTAACGGCAACAGAAAAAAAAAGAAAAAACAAAGTGTAAGCCAAGCGCTTAAATCGCCTTGGGTGTGTGTGTGCGCGTTTCTGAGTTTGCGGGTATATACACGCACGCTCTCTCACGTAGGCGCAACGCACACACGCACATATATACATGCGAATGACGAAGCCGCAAACACAGGAAAAAAAATAGTACATGAAGTAACAACAACAGCAACGAGTGATTGGGAGAGAGAGAGAGCGAGCGAAAACGGCTTTGTTTTTGCTTTTGCTGTTGTTGCTAGTGGTGGGAAATGCTGAATGGAATTTTACAACATGTTTTCGGCTCGTTAATCGTTTTTGCACTCTACTTTCAGCTCAATAACTTCGAAAAAAAAATCATATACAGCAAAAAAATAAGAAACAAAAACAGCGAGTATCTGTATACTGCTCTTTACTCGCTCTAGTCCATAGACGTACATATGTATGGATTTGAGGCCAACAAAAAAAAATAACATGTATAACTTGAAAAAAGAAAATAAAAACTCCAAAAATGCTTGCTTTTTGGTAATTGTACGACTACAATTGCGATATGATCTATGCGCATTTTCACAATGTCTGCGTGTTTTCCACTATAATTTTCTCTCCACTTTTCTCTTTTTGCGTTTGTTCATTTCATTTCGCTTCTTTATATACACTTCACGTCACGCTAGAAACCCTGTGTATGTATGTATATAAATATATGTACATGCTGCAGTGTCTCTGTGTGTGTGTGTATTGTTTTTTCGCTGAGGGTTTTTTTCACACACTTATTCTTTAGCTACACCGATTGCATTGGGCACACAAAACATCGTCTTTGTCGTGTTTTTTCCAAACGTTTCAACTTATTCACTTGGTACGTGGGGCTGATTTACGTGGCGAGTGTTGGGAGCAAAGAAAAATTACCAGAAAAAAATTCACTGCGCGACTTTCCTCCTTGGGCAACAACAAAGCAGTGTGCACGTTTCGCGTGTGTCGGGCAATTTATGCTATTGGTTCTGGGTGGCGTTAGGGTGCGCCGAACGCACTATTGGCATTTTGTCTGGACACGCGTCTGGTCACACTGGTCATTTCCTGCTCAACAGCTAGCCGGTACACCCACCATTTAGCGAAGACGTCCACCAAATATAGCCGAGTTCCACACCTTTGCTGCACTCGTAACGGTCAAGGAAATTCAAATATGAGTATTTAAGTCCGGCTCAAAACATTCATTTTGACAATAGGAAAATGAAGAAATAAATGGAAAGCGGCTATGTGCACGATCCAGTTTTATCTGATTTCCATATAATATGTTTTTTGTTGGTTTCTTCCATTTAAATTATAAATATATGTTAATAAACACACGCAACGTAAAATGTCAATAAAATTATATATGTATTTGCAACCAAAATATATTATGTATATATTTAAAGCTAAATAAGATAAATATATGTTAATAAACACAAACAAAATAAAATGTCAATAAAATTACGTATGTACATATTTGCAACCTAAAAATAGTACGTATATATTTAAAGCTAAATAAGATAAATATATGTTAATAAACACAAGCAAAGTAAAATATCAATAAAATTATATATGTATTTGCAACCAAAAAATATATGTACATATTTAAAGCTAAATAAGATGTACATGAGTAACATTTGAAAATAGACAATTCTTTGAGCAACCCACAAAAAGCTGAGCATTTTGCTTTCATTTGGAAATAAACAATTTATTAGAAGCCCTCAGCTCTAGAGTTTACGCATTAAAAGTAATCGATTTGCACCATAAATACGAGTAGTACACGAAATCAATATCCGCCGATCGCGAGCCAGGCCCCAAAATATCAAGCGTATTTGTAAATTTGTAAATCACCTTATTCAGTATCTGCGAACACATCGTTTTGTCCCTGAGCTCGGCGATGAAACTGGCCAAAAGGGGCTGGGCTCGCTGATCGCACGTCCTCTTAATTCTAACTATATGTGTATATGGGTATAACGTATATAGTATATCTGTATAATCTGTATAAACATGTATAATGTAATGCGGGTTAGGCGGGCTTCTAGTGTTCAAGAAAAGGCGCCGGGTGGGCGTGGAAATTCAGGTCGTAAACTCTCTCGGATATTTGTACAAGTTGAATATTCGTTCCCCTCGCCTTTTGAGTACGGTTCAAAGTCTTTTGAGAGACACTGGTTACATGGATGACCATGTGGATGGTAAATATATGAATATACCTAATATAATATCAAGTTAAATTGAGGGGGAGAGGGAGAGAGGGAGAGAAAGAGAGAGACATGAGCACTCGCACAACTTGAATCTTTGGCAAGACCGCAGATACTGATCACAAGAATCGTTTCGATTTAGTTAGTTCGTAATGCTAATGGCTACAACTAGGCGTCCTCGCTCGAACAAAATTTGGCTAATTGTGGAGCAGAGACTCGGGTACATTGGGTACATCATAGGAATACGTTACACATGGCTGACAACATCGAATCCCTGTCGTTAAGTACTCTAAGGTCTAAATTCGCTGCATTCCCCCGCTGCTTTGTCGCGATTCGCTCACGGTGCCGTGGCTGCCTCGCTGGGATAAAGGTTCACCAGGATGGCGTAGTAGTGGCAACCGGCGGCCAGCACCACAAACAGATGCCAAATGGCATGGGCCATGGGTATCGTGCCGTCCGCCTTGAAGAACACAATACCCAGTATATAAAAGCCGCCGCCGAACTTCAGCTGCAGCATCCCATGGAAGTGGTGGCCAGTGAACACCACCACTAGAGCGGGTCCCAGGCCCATTACCAGGTAGAAGAACGTCTCCAGACACTTGTAGCGCTCGTGGAAGACCTGTTTGTGGGAAGCAAACGAAAGGCAACTTAAGTGGAGCCACTAGAGTGCTGTGAAGGAGGCTTACCTGCTGGTAGGCGATTCCTATGCCCGCCATCAGCCAGATGACCCATTCCATGCAGAAGAGTATGGCCGAATGGTCGGTGTTCTCCAGCGTTAGCCAGGGGAAGTAGGACCCGGCAATGAACACATAGATCATGGCCCTGTCGCAGCGATGGAGCACGTTCTTCAGACCCTGGTACGTCTGCCAGCCGAGACAGGGCCACGCCTTGGCATTCCTCGGTGGTCTGTGGGGGCAAGGCACAAGCAAAGCAAGTAAGTGGGTAAGTCAGCCGGCTGGCCGATGGCACTCAGCGCACTCACCTGTGTTCGGCACAGTAGCAGGAGCAGTGGAAGAAGGTGGACACCGTGAAGAGCATGCACAGGGCTCCGCCGTAGACCCAGGAGACCAGATACTGACTGGCGCTGGATGAGCGCTCGAACAGTGTGATGGCCGCAAACACGGCGGGCAGTATCCAAATGCCGTGAGTAATCACATTGGCCACCTGCTCGATCTGTTTCGGGCAAAAAAACAAACAAATATAGTGCTGTGCTTAGTTATGTTTTGGGGCACTCACCTCCGTTGGCTGGTAGGCACAACCGGGCTTTGCCTTGGCATTCTTCCATTTGACATTGCGCAGCTGCAGCTTGAGATTCGAGTTCGATTTGATGATGGACTTCCAGAACTTGCTGAAGAGATTCTCGAGGAAGGCGTACTTGTGCTGCAGGTCCTGCATCACACTTAGGTTCCCATTCTCGTTGCCATTCCCATTCCCATTGCGATTCAGATTCCGGATTCCACTTCCGTGGCCGCTTGCTTCGCTGGTGCTCATCATGGACAGACTGTGGATTAGATTGTGAATTGGTTGTCCGGCTCGCCAAATTGATTGATTGCCACTCGATCAGACGGCTAACCCAACCACCCACACCTCCCCATTTTTTTATGGCCAATCGATTATCACTCGTCTTTATCTTCGGCTTTTGTGCATCGAGTGATAAGCTCTGGTCACTGGCCACTGGCCACTGGCCACTGGCAATGGCTGGATAATGGAATTGGACAACCCGTCGGCCACTTGAGACATTCCTGCATTGAGCTAATTTATGCTCATTTAGTTTTGCACAGGCAACTTGCTTACAATGGCACAAGGTTGGCGATTTTGACCCGATCCGCAATTGAAACCAGTTCTCTGATTGGCGGCCGCTTATCTCGCGTGTCGAGAACATGGCTCAAAGTCCGATTCAGATGAGATATGGACATGCTCATTCGCGGGCATATGATTATGGGACTCACGCAATCCGATGGCACTTGCAGTCCGAAGAGGCCTGCATTTCGGTAGCCGAATTATTTTCCAAGCTGCTTTTGAATACGTTTGATGGTATAAATGGAAATGGTTCCAATGTCTATCAATTATTTGGTAAATGAATTCAAAAGGCCAGTTTTAAACCGATCTCAAAGTCCAATTAAAATGAAAACCAGGCGTTCAATTTACATAAATGCCTTGAATTTTCATTTAATTCGTGCATATACGTAAATGTAGATATATAAATACCACTATATTCGATTCAGTGACGCGGGAAAGCGAGCCTATAAGCCGTGAGAAATACCCCATAATCAATTGAACCCATTATAATTATAGGATAATGGGATAATTTTAGGATTTACCCGCACCTGAATGGACCTAAAACTTTGCTTGCTTGTCTGTGAATCATGAAAACTTTTCAATAAACCAACGACGGTGGTTGGCGGTTGACGGAGGTGCCCCTGGCGCCCCCAAAAGTATGCCCCATTGGGCGCAGTGGGTGGTCACAGGCTGGAAAAGCATAACGAACAACCCCCACAACCCCCCTTCGTAATTTATCACCATAACGACTATGCTAATCGTTATAAAAATAGATGCTTGGGCATTCCTTGTACTGCCAATTACAAAAGAGCGGGCGTGGGAGCAGTGCACTGCGCGAAAATGCCTTGAAATCGAAAGGCACTGCAAACTATAGCAATTTTTATGAATTTCCACACTTCCATGATCCGAATATATGTATTTCCTAAACAAATTGTTGTAAGGAATGTCATTTCAGAGACAGATTCAGTCTCGCAACATATTTGGCAATCAGCCAGCGCATTGTTCTCAGTGCACAGGAAGATTGTTTACATCTGCCATTCAGAATCAATCGCCGCACTAATCCAATTTGTAGCGCTGCCGTCACGCAATTCGCCCTTTCCACCTGTCCACCTGTACTGGCCTACGCAAATACACGCTTTCCATCCCCGTTCGCAGCCGGAAAAGCCCGGAAAACGCAGAACATCTGGAGGGAAACTCACCGTTGTCTTGCTGCCGCGAATGCGGATGCGGATGCTGTGCGCGGTGGGAGGTGAAAGCGGTTGCGGATGCGGATGCGGATGCCGAGATCGGGTGCGGATCCTGGGCGGAAGCCGATTCGGAATCCCAGGTCCACGCAGGATACTCAGTGACCCAGAGCTCGCTGCACTGCATCCGGGGAACTGGGGAAGCTTCGACTTGGCGTCCGTTTAATTTATTTACTTTCGGCGGACTGGCTAGTGATGGCAGAGCGGCGATGTAACATCGATACTTTGCCGTTGTAACGGCCGCCCAAAACATCGATGTCGCACCGCCGATGTTCCATCTCCAGCAGGTAATAAACTAATTAACGTATTTATAAACATTTAAAGTTCTTCTAAAGCTTGTACTCGAACATGATTTTATCGCTTATTGCTGAGTTAGCTTGTAAGCAATTTAAAAGCTTTCATTTTTATAAAGAGCAAGCAATCATTGGTTGGGTTTTTAGTACTAATACTTGTATTTATTATTTAGTTTGTTTTAAAAGTAAATATGTAGATTCACAAATTGAAATAAGAAACTAAGTGGTGTTCCTCACATTTATTTGACTTAGAATTATAGGATATTTCATGTTTCATAATTCTAGTACGGTTTCAATGATTTAAAATTTATTTCGCAAAAAAAAGTTTATAAATAAGGGAAATACTAGACCGTTCCTTTTCAGCTATAGCATTTAACTTGCAATCCAAGAAACAAGAACAAGCCCAAAATTAGAGGGAGACCTTTAGTTTTACTTGACGAAGATCGAGATGCTGCAGCTTATCAACTAGGGATTCCTAAGTGGTTGTTTTCAGGTTTGACGGCCAACTCCTAACTGACATACGGATCCGATGGCGCCTCTGGACCCGCTGGAAGCTTAGCTGCCTGGTATGGTTAATATATATATATGCATATATGTATGTGGTCATTGGGATGTCCCCGAATTCCTTTCATAGACCGGGCATTACGTAGGCGATGTTGTCGAGCGTGTCGGCTAGATTTTTGCTTAGCTGTACTTTGTTCTCCATGCCGGGTATCTGCGTGGTCATGCAGAGCAGCGGGCCCATGGCGCAGAGCAAGCTGTCAAGGAGTACGGACAAGCTACCCGAGAGCGCCACATATCCATTGTGCTTCTTCAGCCGCTCGCCAATCACCGTCAGGCTCTCGCCCAGCAGTTTCAGGTGTGCCGCCGCATCGATTACCTCGATGCTAGTCTTGTGCTGCTCCTCTTGTTTGTGCTGACCGCTGGTTCGGCCGCCACTATTCGCAGCCGGGTGCGATTGCAGTTTGGTTGCGCTCGTTGAGGCCTGCGACCTGGCACTTCGTGTGTTAATGCTGCGCCGCTGCGTGGAGGTGCCCGCCGCGGCTGCCGCTGCCGCCGCCGCTTCTAACGAGGATTGCTGTCGATCGGCGGCCAGTTTTCGAGTGCGACTCGTCGTCGCTCGGTTCTGGAAGATCGTCTCGTGCTGCGTAGGATCTGTCAGTGCCGTGTTGCCGTTACTTGCCGGCTGGGGCGTACCATTCGCAGCGGTGTTGTCGCGAGTTTTGGCCCTGGACGCCTGGATTTTGGCCTTGCGCCGCCAGGCGTTCTTGTCCCGATTGGAAACGTTCGCCCACATCTCGCTGAGGCGTCTGGTGGCGCTGGTAAAGTCTGCAAGAGTTCGGATTGGCCAATAAGAGCAAGATAGCACACAAATAACAGAAAAGTGCCAACGAATTTGCTGCTGATTATATTGATTAGAGTTGCACCGAAACGTACCTAGGTCCTGGAGATCTTTCTTGCGCGCCTCCCTGGCCCACAGGCTGTAGGCGGTGTAGCGCTGCTTGCCCTTGTCCTTGCGCTGCACCTTGGCATTCACCACCTTGCCGTCCTTGAGCACCTGGCGCTTGTTGGCCTTCTCGCGCATGTAGAGACTCTGGCGTACGGGTGACTCCTGGCTGGTGGCCTCCGCTTGCACGCCATCGACGAGATCCTGCACCAGGTTGTCCAGTTCATCGTCGGAGTTCAGAATGGCCACGGCCGTTGACGGTGTTTCCGGATGGAATTCATCGCCGTCCGAGATATTTGGATCATCCACGAGCATCTCCTGGTCAAGATCCAGGTCTCGCAGAGCATTCGATGGCCTGCCGCGGCCGGAGTACCTGGTTGGCTGTCTGCCGCCACTTTGGCGCCTTGTGCGCTTCTCGATCTCCTCCGGCGATTCAAAATCCAACAGTTTCGACGACTTTTTGCGTACGCGTCCACTGCGCGAAACGCCCGTCACCTGGAAATCTAATCGGGAATTGGTGACCCCGATTCCACCAAATGCTGCCGCCTGTTTTCGACTCACCTTTGGCCACCAGGTGCGAGGTGGGCGACTCCATTTTTGGATCCCCGGTTTGGTTGAATCGGTTGCAATTTGTTGTAAAAAAACAAATGAAGACGCAAATGGAACAGCTGTTAGGTGTGACCAGAGCAAAAGCAGGCGATACATTGCAAGCGATAGATAATCATGGGATTAAATAATGATTTTAGTTTTTAATTTATTCTTCAGTAAATTATTAATGGCCGGTTACGTGTGTACAATGGATCTTAACTATAATATTAACATGAATGAAGTGAATATAGGTTATTAGCACAAGAAGGGTATGCAAAAATTGATTTATTTTGTTGCTATATTTGCAATTTATTTAAAAACGAAAACTCTTCAATTATATACGCCTGGCATTTATTTTGTATTTATTTTAACACACTCTCAGTTATTTCGTACGAATTTTCGAACTATCGCACGGATAGTTGGCGAAATCCAGCAGCAGCTGGTCACACTGCCGCACCTTTGTTTTGCTTGTACTTTTTTTTTAGTTTGAAGGCGGCTTTTCGTTTATCGATTTGATTCGGCACCTGACTGCGCAAAGCGCCCCATGGCACGCGATTCTCGCCGATTGTGAGTCGACTCGCCGGTGGCCCCCAAACCCAAGGACATTTTGGCCCCCAGCCGGCCGTATTTGTATTTGGCGTTGACCCGCGCGCCCGCGTTTTCATGACCAAAACGGCGGCTGCGATTCAAAAGCTAAGCTCAACGGCAAAAACATTCGCGCAGCGTCAGTCAATCGAGGCGGTACTTAATCGACTGTAGATGCCCATTGCCATGTCGGCGGCGAGGAACGAGAGCAGCGGAACACCAGGCGTAGCTGAAGGATCGGAGCTGGCGCCTGCGGCTGGAGCAAGTGCATCCGAGACGGACAATGTGACCGCCCTGGAGCTGCAGTCGAACAAACGCGTGCTGTACTTCAGCGACGGCGTCATGGAGGAGTTGTCCTCCGGCAGCGAGGACGAGGCGGATGCGGAATTGGCTGACAAGTGCTACGACGTCCATTTGAACGAGGTACATCCGCCAAGATTAGCGCGCTTAAGCTCTATTGCCTTAAGCGAACAATGATAGATGTGTGAGGCGCTGATATCTTTCAATGAAATGCTATTACTTGTATGGTTTTTGAGGCATTCAAAAGTAAACTAAAGGCCATGGGTCAGTAGTGATAAGAAGCTGCCACGCCCACACTGGCCATTAGTCATTGTGACTCATTTCAACACTTTTTGTCACTTTTTAGAGCGAAATGCCGCTGGGACCACGGCTGCGCTACAAGGCCAGCAGGATGGGCAACCGATTCCTGGCCGGAATCGACTATGTGGGCGGTGGGCTGGCCCACCTGCTGGGCATCACCAGCAGGAAGTATGCCAGCGAAATGGAGCACTACCAGAGGGCCAAGGAGAACGGCGACGAGGACCTTGACAATTGGCAGCCGCGGGCCATGTCGAGCAGCAGCAGCAGCAACAACAACAACAACAACCGAAACGAGACCATCGTTCTGTGCGGACCAACACGCAGCGAGGCGACCTTGCCACCCACCCGGCAATAGGCGAATAACCACCCACCCACTTGGCAGGTGGCGGTTTTCTTGGCAGCAAGACGAAACGAAATGCTCATGGAGTACTGGCGAAACTTGGAGACTCTCTTGGTAAAATCCAAACGAAACGAATGAAGTCCAAACAGATCTTAACTTTTCGACACTTTATTCGCTAGCAAATAAGTTATATATAATATTAAAAAAATACACATACAAAATACAATACTCATATACTGTTATCTGGGTATCCATACGATTCGTATAGCCCCTAGTTGTATACAGGTTAAGTTAGTTCGTTAGTTGGACATTTAGAAACAGGCCCTGTTCGTTGGGGAAAAACCTGTGGGAGTGCAAGGAAGCCCTCAGTAGTTTCGCCAAAGTTCGATGTGGAAATGGGCGCTTTTAAGGCGATTTTGTGTGGTGTGACTTGTTCAGCCAAGTCCCTAAAGCTAATGGCACACTGAATACAATTAGGCATTACGTCTAGGATTGCAATTGCGTTTTTGATTGTTAAGTACACTTGTTTCGGCATCGGGAGAAGACAGCAAAGCTAGGACCCTGGTTTTTGGGTCATTTTCTTTTTTTTTTTGAAGACATGAACATGCGTATCACAGTATTTGGTTGCTGCGCGTTTCTCTCTCTAACTCAAAAAAAAAGTTATATAAAAAGGCTATATATAGGTATATGTATATGTACGCAAAGGCGACATTAAGTCTTAATGTGTAAAAGGCAAGAGCGATTATTGAATTCGGTTACACCAAAACGGCAAAAGGCAACGCAAGGGGCAACTAATTAGGAGCAACATTAAGTACACACGAAAATAGGATATGAGGCCCATCAAGGGCAATTGCAATACATCGTGGGGGTTGGCTAGATGACCTATGACCTCGTGATAAAGGCCTCAACTAAATAAGAGCACATTTCCTGGGTTATATACACAGTACATAGATAGGTTTCCATCGTGTTCTATGGGGTAGCAAAGCAACTTGAATCGGAATTACGACATGATACTCGTATGATCGTTTCCTATTCGAGTTGCTTGGCGTTACAAATACCCTAAACCTAAGCAAACTCCACCGGATTAAGTTATAGTACAGGACTGACTTTGGCACAGCAGCTGCCGCAGGAACATTGACTGGAAGCAGGGCATTCTTGCCCTGAAATTAGACCGAATCTCTGCACCCAGAGCACTAGAGCAGCGTCTCATCGCCGTAGTGCTGCAAGTGGGGATAGTAGCCGCCATGCTGGCTGTACTTTTGCGAGGCGTAGCTACCTGGCGGATAATACAGGCGGTGCGAGGATGTGGTGTGCTGATGGTGACTGTGGTGGGGGTGGTGGTGGTGCTGCTGCTGATGGTGTTGATGATGCGGCGAATGGCGCTGCTGGTGATGCACGCTTCTGCCCAGCGAATAGTTGGACATCTGATTGAGCGATATGGAACCGGCTCCAGGTGAAGTCTTCAATTTGTACGGACTCGGTGGCAATGGAGCACTGGCCATGGAGGGCCGCACCGAATGATAGGAGACCACCGTGCTATTGCAAGCCGCATGGGATCCACGCGAGCTACTGTGCCCGTCCAGCTGTCCAGCTCCTGCTCCTGCTCCTGCAGACGTATGCTTCACCATCTTGCCATTGCTGACTTGTCTCTTGTAGAGCGTGGAAATGCTTGGTCCCAGGACCCAGGCAAAGCAGCAAATGCCCAACATCAGTTCCATGAAGGCGCGCAGCAAAAAGGGCCACAGTGGGGTATTGGTATCGCCCGATCCCAGCCAGACATCGATGTTGGCGAACTCGTAAATGACAGCCAAAAGAAGCAGGGCACATGCGAGACCATAGATGAATAGGAAGATGCCTATGCCGGAACTACTGTGAGCGCTTAGCTGTTGCAATTGCTGTTGCAAGCTGAGGGCATTGCTATTCCTCAGGATCTCCTTGGTGCGACAGTGCACCAGATAGCCAGAGATCAGATTCATGGAGCCAAAGATCCAGTAGCAAAAGACAGGCGTGGCCACCAATATCTGTAGCGCCTTATCCGACTGGTTGCCCACAAAACAGGCGCCTAGAATAGCGTATGATTGCGTTACTCCTCAAGTTCTCTGGAGTATCTATAGTATATCTCACCTAGCAACTCGTCTGCATCCACGAAACGGGCCACGATCACTGCTGCCGTTTGGAAGGCAGGCAATCCCCAAGCCACGAAGCACACAAAGTTGTTTTGGGTTAGATCTTGCTGAGCCGTCTTGGCACTGCTCCTCTTCGCCGGACTGCCAGCAAAGTTCGAGGGAACGGCCACATGCCCCTTGGAATCCGGACTGTGCCGACGAATGTCGCGGTGCCAGCCCAAACAGAGCACAGCCCACCTACAAATAGCATAGCAATTGTGTTAATTTCTATAATATTTAATATAATTATAGTGTAATACCAAGCGCAGGCGGCCATTCCAAAATAGTAGCGCATAAGAAATACGCTGGCACAGGATGCATTGGACAGTCCGTCCACGGTGAGTAGTGATTCATTGGGCGCCTGGGGATCCGTTCCGCACGCAGTGCCCGTTCTGCCCACCATAAAGCGCACTGCCCAACCCAAGGTGACCATGTTGTGGCACCAAATCAGCGGTGACAACAATCTGGACCATTTGGCGCTGGCCAAACGACTGGAATCGCTGGCCAAAAGGCACACGGTGGCCACCAGGGCCAGGCCCAAAGCGGCATAGGCCCAAGTGGAGACCCAAATCTCCGCGAGATGCTTTTCCGCCGGCGTGAATAGTATGTCCGCCTCGCAAAGTGGTGCACAGCGTCCAGATCTTGGTAGCCTCACATATAGATGCGACTTGGCCAGTCCTGAGCAATCCATAGGCAGTTTACCGCCCAAACCGCCGGGTATTCCCTGCCCTGGTAGCCCATATGGATCCTGATCCTGCTGCGGCTGATGCATTTCACCAGGACCCTCCATGCACATGGTCTCGTGGTTGTTCTCGCGCGGAAACCTATTGCAATCGAGGGCCGGTGGCCATGGGAATCCGAATCCCTGCAAAACCGGATGACAACGAATCCGCACAGACTCACAGAGACTCCGGCAGGGACCAATGGCATGTACGGGTGCTTTGGGCGTGCACATGGGCACGTAGGCGGCGCACAGGAACAGCTTCAACTGGGAACTGCAGTCGTACTCAATCAGTGGTGCAAATGTCTGCAGGGTGTACTCCACATCCGTTTGCATTTCGTGACCCACCAGGTTCGGCATGGAGGTCTCATTGTAGCCGATCTTGCGGCACATCTCAATGCGAATGGTTTCGCATTGCCGGAAGGCGGGGATTTCGGCCGGAGAACTGGAACTGGAGCTGGCACTGGGGTTACCACTCGCCGAGGATTTGGAGAGGCGCGGATGCAGGAGGATCACCACCAGGAGACATAATAGGCAGGCAGGCTGCATTTCGGCTAGATTCTGGTCTTCAGCTTGGAATTGCGTGTTCTCTCGTCCCAAAGAATCCGAACTTGATGCGTTGCTTCACTTGGAGGTTCCGATTTCTGTTCCTCCAAGAAATCCGAAAGTGGAAAAAAATCCGATCTCGGGATTTTCTTTGCGCTGGATTCCCTCACGTCTGCCCAAAGAATCCCAACTTTATGCAGATTCTTCGTTCTTCGGTGGAACGCTGGAAGGGGTAACCTGTTCCAGGTGCTCGCCCCTTCTCGCTCTCTCTCACTCACACTCTCTATCTCGCACCCTCTCACTCGTTCCAACAATTTCCAGCTCTCCTTCTTTCCAGCTTGTTATTGTTGCTTTTGGCTTGTCAACTCGTTAACTACCTTTTTTCGGCGTCGTTCTTGTTATCGCTTCTCCTCTCTCCCCACCTCGTTCTCCTGCCCCAACCACTCCCCTTTCACCACCTCACGCCACCGCCCCCCGCTGATCAATGTCGATAAACGGGTTTTTCTTCAGGGATTAACCCGAAAACGATCTAGGAAACCATCGAATCTTTTACACATCTCACTGAACAAAAGGCGTATTTGCTTGGCTGTGCTTAACCGAGTGGCGGAGTCAGTTTGACACCTTAGCGAGTATATTCTAATCTAATTGGTATTAACGTTTATAAATTTTATTTTGTTTTCTAGGTAAAATACAACGTGGACTGGTCACTCTGAGCTAGAGATGGCTCTTACGCACGTCAGCTCGTATCGATTGCTTTGCCTCAACGGATCTGCTATCGATGTCAACAAGTTTGAAAGTCAACAAATGCTTTCAGATCAATAGGCGCCCTCTGGCGGAATTATGTGTAAGTAACCATAGAAGTTTTGAATGGCGCAATTTTCGAAAATAAATATGAAACTCGTCTCAACAATAAAAACGGCTAAGCATAGTAATCTTATAATTATACAAAAACGTAAAAAATGCTAAATGTTTGTGTTTTGCTAGCAGCGGTATTTTAGGTAGGCAATTTATAAACTTGTAGTATATGATTTAGAATTTCCGCTTTCAATTCTTACAATGAAAAGTTTTCAAAAGTCCAAAAAGTGCTTTTGCAGAATAGAGCTTTAAGAAGCGCGCTAACCAAGTGTGTGAGCTTTTTTCAAATGGTACACTTCGTGTGAAATATGAATAAGAAACGTAGGAAATATGCCGAAAGAACACTAATGCAATATATTAAGAATAATAAATGATATACCAAAAATGCAATAATACTAAATGAATTATATTTTCAACACCCCACAAGTGGCTGCAGCTCAATATTTGAAAACCAAATTATTAGCAATTGTGAGAAGAACAGCGATTGCCATTTCTGCATTTTGGTCTCCCGTCCGTTTTGCCATCTCCCTTTAGTTACCGCTTGGCCTCTCTTTCGCACACACATGGCAAGCGCAGGCCACGCCCATGTATTTCAACCCCCTTGACAAAAACACGTAACATGCCACTTTTATGTATGAAACGTGACAAATACGCACATGTGTGCGAAAGAGAGGCACCGAGCTGGCGCGAAAGAGACAGCTGCCGGACGTTTATGTGTTTTGCATGTTATGCTTGTGTGCGTGCGTGTGTGTTTGCGAATTTGTTGTTGCTTCACGCACACGCGCAGACGTTGAAACACATACACATATGTGAAAAAGGACATGCACGTATGTACATACGTACGTATGCATGTAATTATGTATGTACATGTGCCTGCTGACTTTTTCGCCACTGCCAACTAATTACGAAAGCCAAATGAAAGTTTTCAACTTTACATCAATGTAGCAGCTAGCCCAAAGGACGCTCAAAGGATATGCGGAATGCCATTCAAGTATCATATGCGAATCCTTAAACAAAATACCCACAATCCGATTCGCTGAAGTATTCCCACTCACCTTTCAGTCATTCTCCACATTTTTTCGCCCCTTTTAACTGGGCGGCACTTTCACTTTTCCCCCGCGGATTTAGAACAATTCTTGCATTTTTATTTCACGCTTCTTTTCACTCCTGCTCGTTCTTAAATAAAGTGCATTTTCTTACACCACCAACCATATATATATGTATATCCCTGCAGCGGGAGGTGTAATAAAAGGCACCAGAGAAGTCGCTGTCGAAAAAAAAGAATTAAGGCGCATCCAGCACAGTGATGGCCAGCATAATAGCATCTTGCAAAAATACTCGGGAAACAGGTAACAAAATGGGTGATAATTACGCAAAAAACAAGGAGTGGTCAATGCTAAAATCTGCTTAGCTTAAAAAACTACCGAACCATCTAGGATCTTTAAAATGTTCAACATTTTTAGCTGTGCTAACTAAATCTGAAAGGAAAAAGGGTTCTCTGCCAAAAGGGTTTTCTCTTGAATGTAAAATGTATATAAATAACTAAAGGCTACGGCAAACTAAAAGTAACTTCAGCCTTAAATGAACTTAATCATTTTTAAATAGAATAAATGGAATCGACTTTTGGTGTGGCAAAAGTGTGGCATTCCTTGTGCAGTTGCAACTGGTGCCAGTAGAATGGGGAAAATGGGAATGGAAATGGGGAAATGGGGAAGGGGGAAGGGGGAACACCGAGTAAGGTGTGCGAAAACCCTGGCCGAGGACCTCAGCCGGAGGAAAAGTCATGGCGGAAAAGCCGAGGCAGGCGAGAAGGCGCCGCGGAAAAGTCGGTGAAAAACTGAGAGAGAGCGCGTTGATGCACAAAAGCATTTGCTGCGTGTAAACTTGACTTTGAAATTTTGCCTCATTTGCACTTGCCGCTGCATTTTGCACCTGCCATCGTTACATAAAAGCCGGATTTTTTACATCAAGCTAACGTTCTCTAACTGTTGCATGCCCCATCGCGATGTTTGCGCAAATGGCAAATTTATATAATCACAAGGATCATATGAGAACGGGTTCAGCGGCGCTATTGGTATGCATGGCAATGGAAATGTCAATCAACTCGGTAATGAAATTGCACCCGAAAAACCGGTCACCACAATAGGAATGTATATATATATACATACGCATTACAATGGCACAAATGTACAAATGCACATATGTAGATATCCTTGCAAAGGACACGAAAAAGAAGGCATGTGTGTTTTTGTGCAAAGGTCGTTGCTACCAGGTCGCCATATATGTACATGTGTGCTTATGTATGCACACTTACACACTTATGTACTAAAAGCACTCGACACCCACCGGATATATATGTACATAAATACATATATATAGCATATATACCCGTGTACATGCTTACACTTTTGCCTTGCACTTGTCACATCTGTTTTCCCTTTTTTCGCGCTTTTCATCTGGCTTTCCATTCAAGGTGTGGGAAAATCCGGCAGCGTGAAAAGCCAACTGCATTACTGGATTTCACGGCCTTCTGTCTTTTAATCGCTTTAAGATTGTACTCCGCATTCTTCGCCCTTACTTCGCGCATTTGGTAAAGGTTAATGCTGCTAAAGTTGGCAAATTATTTGCAAACATAAATTATATGCATATATGCGCTCATAGATTTATGTTTATATTTAATTTCTATGCTTCACGATTTTTGAAGGGCATTTGCTGAACTATTACATATTAACTGCCGTCGGTAGTTCACAATTCTTAGGTATATTCATTATAATTATTCAATTTTCAGTGGTACATATTTACCCATCTGAAGGTGTGTGCCTCGATTTCCGCAAATGTGTTTATTTTGTGGCCTCAGCCCTCGCAAATAAATACTCCTTGGCATCGATTAATCATTTCCAGCTGACCACTGGGCATTGCCCCATAAATCATGCGCAAATTGTGAACTTTTGGGCGCGCCGACAGCTTTGAGCCACTGCGACCGATCCTGTGGTTTCGTCAAGGATCTGCATGTGTGTGTGAATGTGCCGGGAGTGTCCTGCGAATGTCCTGGGAATGGTGATGTGTGGACTCGGATGCGGATGGGCACGAACGTAGCGCACGCGTAACCTTTGCACCCCGCCCAAAAGGTCCCCGAATGGCCACTGGTCACTAGGCAAACAACAGACATGCGAAATACGAAATAGGAAATTCGAAATCCGAAGTACGGTATGTAAATTCGTTTGTCGACATCCGGGAACGTTGTCAACCCGATTTTCCGGCTTATTTCGTTGCAGTGGCGGCGGTCGGACGAATTTTTAGGGGGTCCTATACCTCACTATGCGTATTACTCAAGCTTAAGATCACAAACATTGATGCTTAAATTAGAATAGTAACTTAATGCGTTCCGTAAAATATGGAAATCTATAAATTCAACTAAAGTGCTTTATACTGCAGTCTAAATTTATTTGTAAGTTACATAAATATGGTATTTATTTTTCGGGGGTTTCATTGCTAACTATACAAATATCAAGGCTAAAATTAGAATAGTAACTTAGTGCGTTCTGTAAAATATGGCAAATCCATAAATTCTACTGTTATAGCTTTATATTACAGTCTAAACTTATTTGTAAGTAACATATATATGGTAATTATTTTTCGGGGTTTCATTTCTAACTATACAAATATCAAGGCTAAAATTAGAATAGTAACCTAATGCGATCTGTAAAATATGGAAATCTATAAATTCAACTAAATTGCTTTATACTGCAGTCTAAATTAATTTGTAAGTAACATAAATATGGTAATTATTTTTCGGGGGTCCCATTTCTAACTATACAAATATCAAGGCTAAAATTAGAATAGTAACTTAATGCGTTCTGTAAAATAGGGCAAATCTATAAATTCAACTGTTATTACTTTATATTGCAGTTTACATTTATTTTTAAGCCACTTTGTGTGTAGATTCCCCTGAGTCAGTTACATAAATATGGTAGTTTTTATAGGAGGTGTCATAGCTAACTATACAAATATTAAGGCTAAAACCATAGTAACTTAATGCGGTAATTCTTTTAATTAGTTTAAATTTATTTGTAAGCCACTTTGTTTGCACATTTACTTGAGTCAGTTACATGCATCTGGTAATCAAACCCCTTCCAAGCGCCGCCCATGTGCTCTGCACATTCGCAGGCATTTCGTATGGGTGTACCTCCCCGAAAAAGGTATCAGAGAATTGGACTTTGATGAAATGGTGGACAGGGGTCACTTGCGGTATTAAATATTGTGAAGAGGGTCGCCGCTCGCGCTGCGCAATTTCCAGCTTGATTTATATACAGATCAACGTGGATATAAAGGTTGGAGGGGGTCGAAAGCGGGTCGAAATCGGGTTAGGGAACAGCGTTCTTGTCACGCCCAGTACTTTCCATGCAGAAGACGGGTTGAAGTTGGATTGGGTTGAACTGCGGCGTTTCTGGAGTCGGCAGACACAGGTCAATTCGTTGGTTAATTAATTTTGCAAACGGGATTTGCATTGCCTGCGAGGCATCACTCCTTCTGGCGGCTGGCTTCTTGATTATGATTTGCATTTATTACTGCCTTGTTATTTGTTGCTGTTGTTCCAGGTGGATTGTGAATCCAATCAATGCTGTGCGGGAAAATTGTGCGGGGCAAACGGGGCTTTTCTTTTTTATCGGGTCAGCCAAGCATGCGGTGTACTCGTACTTCATATTTTCCGCCGCGGATACACAACCCCATTTTATTTTTTGGGCATCCAATCTGCGATTCCCTTCGATGGCACATCAATCTGGGCATAATGGCCCCAGATAATAGTGTTTGTTTGTTTGTTTGTGTGCCAAGGTATGCGTAAGCAGGGCCGTATACATATATACGGCGAATACTCAAGCGTCTAGCGATGGAAAGTATGTGAGTTATGGAAAATTGCATACAAATTCATAATTGCC